GTTTTTGAAAAACTAGTTCTCTGAAATTCTGAAATATTTCGAAAAAAAATGGAGGTTTTAGGAAAAATTTTTATTGATTTTGAAAGAGCAGACGACGGGCTATTCTCCTATGTATTTATCTCAATTTTCACAGTTCTCACGAAAATTGACTTTTTTTGAGGGGGAGGGGGTTAAGTGATTTAGTTCAGAATGTTATTGAACTAATTATCACAACAAAATTTTTTTTCTTTAGCCTCTGAGGAATCTATTTTCAAACTATAGTGGTTTTTTTCGAAAATATAATAGAAACATTAATTTAAATTGTTTTTTAAAATTTAAGTTTTATTTTAAACAAAATTCTATGTAAATAATTTCAAGATAAAGCACATCTTAGTTGTTTGTATTTAATAACAACATAAATATCAATTGAGAAAAATAAAGTTTATCTTAAAGTTACATAAAATTTTATTTTAAATAAAACTTGAATTTTTTAATTAAATTTTAAATAAATGCTGTAATCTCGGATTTATATCCGAGAGTATCTGTACTTCAAAAAGTGAATGAGACAAATCGGTCATCTTAGAATGTCTGAATATAAAAATTTGTCTGCAAACCTTTTTCTATAAACCGTTGAATTCCATTGGCTACTGCTCAAACAATAGGATTTGGGAGCGTACACACCTCAGATTTCCACTCTTCGGCTTAACTTAGCCTCAGAAAGTCGTTTTTTTCTATAACTTGATTTCTATTGGTCAATGCTCAACCAATGGGCCTTCGAGGCAAGTGGAATAGAGATTCGAGTTCTCCATACTAGAAAACCTTCGATTATCACCTCTATGATAGGAAGATAGAGTTCCAATTGGAGGTTGATTGGAGCGTGCACAAAAACCGAACCGATTTCCGCTTATTTATCTTACCAATAAGTGAGTTAGTTTTCTTGTTTTTTAATGTTTTATATATCGTTTTGTAGCTCTTGAAATTCTCTATAGAATAGTATATAATAGTTGGGATTTTAATTGACTATGATAGGAAAAGCCTTTTACGAAAGTGGCGATGGGTCGATTTTCCGATAGGAAGCCATAGGGAAAATTCGGTATTTTTGCAATAACTCAGGAACGACTCGGCCGATCCTTCTCATCTTCTTCTCTCGACCGAGACATTCTAAAGGCTGAACTATGTAGAAAATTTCATCGCGATCGGACTCTCCTTTCGAAA